CAACATTAAAAATAAATAATGATAGGTCAGGTCCTCCAGAGCAGGAGAAAACAAGCTTGTTCCCTCTTGTTCCATGTGACAGCTCTTGAGAGATATTTGAAGATGGCTATCATATCTCCTCTCACTTTCTCACTTACCCTGCTCCTTCAACCCCTCCTCATAAGGCTTGGTTTCCAGACCCTTGATCATCTTGGTTGCACATGTGAGTGAATGTATTTGGTTTGATGCCAACCAAAGTTATTTCCAAGGAAGCAATATGCTTTGGCATTTTGTCACTGTGTATATTCACATGATATTTGAAATATTGTAGGAGATATTTATGGGACGGGGGTGGCGCTGTGGGTTAAACCACAGAGCCTAGGACTTGCCAATCAGAAAGGTCGGCGGTTCGAATCCTCGCGACGGGGTGAGCTCCCGTTGCTCAGTCCCTGCTCCTGCCCACCTAGCAGTTTGAAAGCACGTCAAAGTGCAAGTAGATAAATAGGCACCGCTCCGGCAGGAAGGTAAACGGCATTTCCGTGCACTGCTCTGGTTCGCCAGAAGCGGCTTAGTCATGCTGGCCACATGACCCGGAAGCTGTACACCGGCTCCCTTGGCCAATAAAGCGAGATGAGTGCCACAACCCCAGAGTCGGCCACGACTGGACCTAATGGTCAGGGGTCCCTTTACCTTTACCTTTTAGGAGATATTTATGTGCCTTACAGTTTTGTTCATGGGTGAGAAACCAAGGTGAGAAAGGGCAGTGCTTGTCCAAAACCCACACTGGTGAAACTACTTGAGGGAGGACTTCAACTTTGGCACCCTGGTGTTTACAACCTGAGCCTATGTTGTTACTTCTGTGAACTCTCAGCTCCCATAACTGGAAGGAAGTCTGATTAGCTTGCTGAGGTAATGATGCCTTGCTATGCAACAGAGCCATACACCTCTGGTGGAATAATAGATCTCTCTTAGCCTGGCACTCTGCCCAGGAGGAAGAACTGCTGATGAATACATTAAATCTCCTTGGCAAGCAGAGCTGGTCCTCCTGAAAAACCTGTTCACTGTTCTCCAGACATCACAGTCTTTCTCCAAGACATGCAACACCAATATGTCGAGGACAACATTCTCCTCTGTGGATCAGCAGGAACAGGTAGGACTAGTAGGGTCTCAGCTTTAGCATTCAGTGTTTCTGTCGGGATGGCTTGGCCTGAAGGATAGGAAGGGCTGCTATCTCAATCACATCCAGGGCAAAAGAGCTGAGGAGAATAGGAGTTTAGTAGGCTGCTCAGTGAGCTGAAGGCCTTAATTTGGACTTGAGTGTCCCCCTCCCCTCCTCCATTTACTTCAACACCCCTAAATGCAGTGCTTTAGGGCCTTCAAGACTGATAAATTGCTTTATACAGAGAGCCATATGGAGACCCAGTAACTAAACACCTGAGAACAGCAGGACTTTTCTTCAGTGGGAATTCGCCAGAACTCAGTTCTCAGGTAAGTTCCAGAACTTCTCAGGTGGGTGCCATTGCCATTCTAAGAGAAAGAAGGAGATGTTCATGGCGAGTTCTGGCACCTCCTTTTCTAAAAAAATAGCAGTGGAGAACAGGACCCAGATGTTCTTACCGCACAGAGTCCCCACTCCTTGTTTACTTATTGGAGAAGTTCGTTTATTTGTTTGTTCATTACATTTCATCCTCCCTCCAAAGAAACTTAGTGTGCACAATTTCTGCTCCTAAATTCCCTGATTCCAACCACAGAAGAGTTTGGAAAAGAGTTATTTTCATTGCCTCATTCTTTCTCCGCAATGGAACGTTGGGTTTCGAGTTCTCTCTGCGTTTAAGTGGCTGGGTACACTTCTGGCTTTTAAAGATGTCAGGCAATAATCGGCAACGTTGCATACATGAGTGAATTAATAATGATGCATATTATGTATTTCTGATGTTTTTAATCTGCCCAGGACTGTTAGGTAAAGGATTATGCAGAAATCTCAAAATAAATTAATGTAGCAGGAGACCTAGGGTCCTGGAGGGTAGTGTTGGCAGAGCCAGCCAAAGATCTTCCTGTGGCAAAAGTTGCTGGTGCTCCCCATTCCCCGTACAGAAGCCAATTGGACTGGTAACTGAATCTTATATCAACAGACAGTGATGGGACAGCATCCTCCAAAACACCTGAGAGGGAAGAGGAGGAGAACACACACAGAGAACTCTATCCTCCAGCACCTTGCTGCTGTTCCCTGCTTCACTCTGCTGTTCCCTGCCTAATGGTAGGGCCAAGCCCAAGTGCTCGGGTTTGTTGCTTGGTGGTGGCGATGGCGGCTTGCTTTATTATTTGATTTAGGAAAGGAAGGCAAAAATAAAATTTCTACCCCAATCTGGAAAGGTTTTGCCCCCTATCAGGCACTTCAAATTATCTGAAACCCTTTTTGCCCACTATTATGGTTTCTCCCCAACCACCTAAAAAATTCTGTGCCTAAAAGGGAAACGGCTATTGACATGATTGTTCTTCTAACTGTACTTTCCTTGTTTGGGCAGCCCGTCAGCTTCTTGAACTGCTCTAGCTGGAATATGGCCCTGTGCTACTTACTTTCAGATAGGAAGCCAAATCTAATTGGTTGCAGTGAGGAGGAGGAGGAGGAAGAGAAGCTTCTAGTTTTGATGGTTAGGATAATGTTCTCATCCCTGCCTACCTTATTGGAATTTTATTGCCATGTTTAATCACTGCTGCCTCTAGGTAAATGGGTTGGTGGTGTTAACAGTCCATTGTGGTTCATAAGAGGACTATATAGTTGTTGTGGTTATTTAGTTAGCACTAGATCCCTGCTCCTGCCAACCTAGCGGTTTGAAAGCATGTCAAAGTGCAAGTAGATAAATAGGTACTGCTCCGGTGGGAAGGTAAACGGCGTTTCCGTGAGCTGCTCTGGTTCGCCAGAAGCGGCTTAGTCATGCTGGCCACATGTACGCTGGCTCCCTCGGCCAGTAAAGCGAGATGAGAGCAGCAACCTCAGAGTCGGCCACGACTGGACCTAATGGTCAGGGGTCCCTTTACCTTTACCTTTAGATATGCGCTAGACACTTGGAAGGACACAGAACGGACAGGGGAGGTGCACATGGGAATAATTCCAGCTCTAGATGTAAGTTGACAAGGAGCAGATTATCAGCCATCAGGCTTTACTCCAGAATTCAGCGGACATCCACACTGTAAATGTTAAATAAATGTGTAGGTTAGATAACAATTTATTAAGGTGCCTGTGTGTGTGTGTGTGTGTGTGTGTGTGTGTGTGTTCGTGTTCATCCACCCACTTCTTCAAGTGTGGAAAAGTTCCAATGGCAATACTTCCGGGTTTAGTTTCCTTTGGATAAGGCAGCTCAGGATATTTGGGGTGCATTTATAATGTTTGTTGACAAATGTGCAAGCAAAGCGTAAGTGGAGGCAAAGCATGCATTTCAAACAAGACAGGAAATCCCCCTATTTATGGGTAGCAGCTTGGTCAATCCTGCAGTTTCAGTTCACTCCACCCGGAGCACACACATGCTTTGGGAAAATGTCAACTGTTGTTTTTCTGCCTTCTGGCCATCAGATGGAGGAGTGTCACCTTATCCAGACTCAAGGTAGTGTCTCATTCAAACACATGCAGAGATTCCTAGCCTACTAGGAAAAGATCTCCTAACCATTAGTCCCTTCTCATGAAATAGGAACCTTCTATTCTCAATTATTAACCAGCAATCCTTTGTGAGCAAGCTGGGAAGAAAAAAGTCTGGCAGCAGGTTTTACACCATAAATAGATTTTCCTTCTGGACTCAATGAACCAATGTGGTTGATTTTAATAAACTATTATTTGAACCTCATATGCATCTTTGGCATGCAGGTTCATGCTTTGCTTGTGACACACTGTAATCAGGACTCTCTGTGCTGCACACACAAAACAGGTCAAATTCTGTGCCCTGTGTAAATGATGCAAAATACAAAAAATAAAATAAAAATGCACATATGACGTTTGCATAGTACATTGTGTTTGCCATGGGGAGGAGCAAGCCAGTATGTGACACTGAAGAACCTTCCCCTCCTTTACCATTGCATATTTTAATCCAACTGCTCTTCCGGCACCTGAGATGTCAGTAGGCATTGCTCACACTATTTCAAGCCTCTGGTTTTTTTGCTTCCATAACATAGCTGTCAACTTTCAGATTTGAAAATAAGGAATCAGCAGCCTCGAAAATAAGGGATCAGCAGCCTCACCTGTCCTGGGGACAGTCTACGGGATATCTAACAATCCGGGATAGCAGCGGGAAGCAGCGGGAAATAAGGGAATTTCCCGTAAAAAAAGGGAAGGTTGACAGCTATGTTCCATAAGGTCTAGAAGCATTTTAAGAAAAGGGGGGGGGAATTATGCATCCAGGACTAAATTGTTGCTACACTTAGGTAAGAAAGTATAATAGACACATTTCAGGTAGTTGGATAATTTGCTGTAGTATGTTTGCATCTGTAGTATGTATGTATGTATGTATGTATGTATGTATGTATGACTTGAATTTATATACTGCCCTATACCCAGAGGTCTCAGGGTGGTTCATAGAACAAAATCAGAATATAAAACCACAAAATATATAATCAAAATAAAAACAGCAACCCAGTAACACCCCCCTCCAAAAAAAAACCACCGCACATTTTAAAAGGCCATAGGATGTCAATCAAATCAGCCAAAGGCCTGGTTAAAAAGGAACGTTTTTGCCTGGTGCCTAAAGGTGTATAATGAAGACAGGTGCATAATGCATGTAGTGTTAGTTTGGATAAAAGCAGAGAGGATTATGGACTCGATCTCCAAGAATCCTTTTGGTCCTGCAGTATTGTGCAATGCTGTTTTCTAGGCTGGGATTCGGCCTCTGCTGTGCCACACACCCAATTTGGAACAAGAGTTGTGTACCTTATGGAGCGCTTACCTACTGTGTATTTAGAGCTTCGAAAAACAAGTTTTTGATTTGTGTCCTTCGAAAAACTACTAGCCCCTCTCGTCCTTCCAGGTTCCTATTATGGCGGAGGCAGGAGCAGATGACCCCATCCTGGTTGATCAACAGCTCCGTGACATGGACGAGGACCTTTTGTGGGAGATGGTAGAGGGTCATCGCTACAGGATTGTTCGTGGTGTCACCCCGAGCCGGCTTACACCCTACCTGCGCCAGGCCAAGGTGCTCGGTCAACTTGACGAGGAAGAGGTGCTGCACAGCCCTCAGTTCACAAACAGCGCCATGAGAGTGGGTGAGCAGCCTTAGTGTGGCAATGTTGATGGGATGCCACAAGGCACATCTACCTATAACGGGGAAAGGGGATATGTTTCTTTCTTGCTCCTCTCCCTCTAGAAGAAATGCAGAAGGGGAGGTGGGGCAGCCCTGTTGAACCTTGTCTACACCACCAAGTTTATCATCAATCATCCTCACCATAAGCAGATGAGGAAGGCTACCAAATTTAGAAGCAGACATAGCCTGTGTCCAAAGAATCTCAACATGGTAGTGCTCCACTGGAGGGAAGGCTAGCTATTGATGCAAATATTTGGACTACTAGGACATCATTTGTGGCTGGGGGAATAAATGCAATACTAAATGGGAAGGAGTTCCTCTGTGTCAGTCAAAGGAGGATGGGTGTTTCACAAAGGGGCAACCTGGTGCCCTCAATATATTTTGGACAACAATGCTTATCAACCCCAGTCAGCACAAGGGCACCAGATTGGAGAAAGCTGCCAGAGACAGATAGGCAAATTGTCCCACAAAGACCACAGGTAGGATAAAATCATTCCTGCACAGACCAAGGCTGAAGGAAGGAAGCCAAAGCTGGGCCCGTCAAGACAACTGATTGCAGCCTATTTTGCAAGACTTATGTCCTTAAAGACTGCTCTGTTGACTTCTCTGTACTGCAAGTGCTATAGAAGGCCATTTAGCTGGCTAGCAAAATTACTTGCAGAGATACGGCACATCACATCACCTGCCATGTTCCACTGACCCCGCAGGCAGGGTGGGTCTTAGGGAGCCCCATGGGAGAGGAACTCCATTGCTTTATTGTTGCTCTTTCTTATTCCCTTGTAGGTCACATGCTGGATCTCTTGAAATTCCGTGGGAAAAATGGAGCCCTTGCCTTTCTGGAAAGCCTGAAACTCCACAACCCAGATATTTATGTGCTCATCACTGGCTTGGAACCTTCCATAGACCACAATCATTTCAGTGGTGAGTTTTCTCAAACCCTGTACCCCACCTATTCATGGTTCACTTTCTTGAGAGGAGACAGTTGTGTTAAAAACAATCTTCAGCCCCTGAAGTGAGGCTGACCCAAGATGTTTTGGCACCTAAGGCAGATAATCAAAATGGTGTCTCTTACACACACACACACACACACACACACACACACACCTTTTCCCCTTGCCAACTTCCTCACAGGTAGCAGAAATACAATAAACACCAGACTGCTGCCAAAATCTGTCTGCCTGAGGTGGATGCCTTGCTCTGTCTGCTTCATGGTAGGCCTGGACCAGTCAAAGGCCTAACTGTTGTTATTTCCCTTACCCTAGACTTGATTGAGAGTTCCCAACTGACAGAATGCTTGGCCAAGGCAGTGAGCAGCCTGCAGGAAGAACTGAGCCAGGAGAAGAGGCAGAAGGTGTCTTTGCTCCATCACTGCCGCAAGCTGAAGGAGAAGACCGCCCGACTGGAAGCACAAGCTGAAAGCCTGAGCGGCATTGAGGCCGAATGTAACCGCATGAAGAGGGAGCTCAGTGCCCACTTCCATGAAGCCCTCAAGCTTAAAGATGAACTTTATGGCCTGTCTTTACGTTACAGCAGTGCCCTGCAGGAGAAGGACCTGGCCATCACCCGCTGTCAGAGCCTGCAGGAAGAGGTGTGGTGGATGTCGTGCTCAGCTGATGTTGTCACATCATTTTAGGAGTGAAAGGCTGCTATCAGGAATAATGGATGTGCATTATGTGTTTCAAAGGAATTCCCAGAGTCTTTCGCTAGTCCTCTAAATGCAGCGTTTCAAGGAATGTTTTGCCACAGCTCCAGAGTGCTTCCTGTCAGTAATCTGTAGCTATTTTTATACATGCCCACTTTTACTGCTAGGTGTTTCGGAATGCAGGAATTGTTAGCTTGCCCGGAGGAATGCCTAGCTTGGCACCTTGCCTCCACTGGAGGCAACAATTTATGCTGCAGCTTCAGAGGAAAGGCATAGCTCTTCCACCCCATGGACACCTCCTCCAATACAATTACCAGTAGATGATGACCCATTTTGATTGACTGGAAGTGACATAACATAAAATTCCATGGAAATGACGCAATCTGATTCCAGACCAAGATTGTTTGGTATCTGCTTGTTGGAAGAGAGTAGGGTTTCTTACAAGATGACTCCTGAAATGCCTGGTTTATTGGACCTATCAGCTGAAGAGGGTGGTATTGTAGATTGGATTGTGTGCTAGGAGAACAAGTAGCCTATCACCGATTTCTTTATAGTTGTCCAGATTTTTCTCTTTCCTCCTGTGCTATGATTGACCTAAGTATGTATTTAGCTTGGCTTCTTGCAGAACCAGCATAGGTCTGGAGCGTAGAAGATGACATCCCTCAGTAGGGGTGGTCCTGTTCAGAGTTTCTACCAGCCAGTCAATCATGCTCTTTTCTAGAATACCATAAGCCAGGTGTGAGGAACCACTGGCCCTCCATATGTTGCTGAACTACAACTTCCATAACATCTGGCCATTAACCATGATTGCTTGAGCTAATGGGAGCTGTAGATCAGCAGCCCCCACCACACTTTGTATAAGCTGTAAAGTGCTCAAGTGGGCCATTCCCCACTCCCAGTTTTTCATCTTTCTTTCCCAGCTGCTCCTCAACATTCTGTGGGCACTAAGCATGCTCAGTCTTTCCTTGGCTGTTGGGGATGGGTATGTGTGTTGGGTATTTTTGTTTTAAATTTGGAGTTTCCTTGAACGTGCTGGTGCCACCATCTGGTTTCTCAGTGGGCCTGTTTTGGCTCCAGTTCTGTTGTCCCTCCCCAGCTGAGTCCACTGTTAGAGGGACTGGCAGTCTAGCTGCATGCTTAAAACCAGACCCTCAGGTCCCGTGTTTCAGAGTGAGCATCCAAACCTGGCCAGGTGTTTCATGCTGCCACCACTCGTCTTGCTCGCTCACTACTGCTTCTGCTTCTTTTTCTTCTCTGTGTTCCCATCAATGGTAGCTGTACCTGATGAAGCAGGAATTGCAGCGAGCCCGGGTGTCATCCTATTGTGAATGGGAGAGGTCCTCAAGGCCAGCTGGGGACACACAGCCACAGGCCGATGAACTTCAGACACTGAGAGAAGAGAACGAGCGTCTCAAGTCAATGGTGGAGCTGGGGACCTTCAGTGTGGTAAAAGACTATTTCCAGGAATACTTTCATACTGGTTTTGCCTGTGCTGTGGATTCTTTTCACAGTCCTTTTCCTTCCCTCGGAGAATCCAGTGAACTGTAGTTCTGTGACAAGAGCTGGGGATTTCTTAACAGAATTTTTAGCTTCACAAAACAACCATTTCTATGATACTTCAGCAGCATATTGGTCATCTGGTGTAAGAACCAATGTAGACTTGCAATGTAGATATGCCCTTAATGTGTTTGCCCTAAATACAAGCTTCTTACAAACTTATATAGGCAACTGCACAGTTGCTTCCTCACATTTCAGCAAAATGGTTTGTCTTGCACAAATCCCCTCCAACTACATAACATTCCTTTACTGGCTGGAGGCTTAGCTTTTGAGGAGGCAGATTGTCACAGATCCAACTGCCACATATGGGTTTCCACAGCCATCCTCCCCAACCTAGGCAAGCGGAAATGCGCCTCTGATGAGCCTCTCTCATTTGCCCAGGTGCAGAAGGATATCCTGGAGCAGAACCTCGATGATGCTCTGGACGGAAAGCAGGAGCTGCTGAATCGCATCCACTCGCTGAGGGAGCAGGCGGCGCTTGCTGAGAATCAGCGGAAGCAGGTGAGAGGGGGCCGCACAACCCATGCTTGCCTTTAGGCAAGGTGGGAGGCAGAGGAATCAAGCCTCTTTCCAACTCAGGTCAGGAGGACAATTCAACTAGCATAGCTAGCTTCATGCCCGTACTTCAGTCTGTAGCATGAGGTTACAAAATCAAGCCCACATTGTTTATTTACATTTGTTTCCCATGCTTCCTCCCCTAGGGGAACTCAGGGCATCTAAGGACACAAAGCAATACCAAAAATAAATAAACCATAGAACATTTAAAATACCAAAAAGCATCTGATTAAAACTGCGGAGAGCCAATACCTTTAGGACAGAGTCTCACAACGAAAGCTGCTCCAAATATATTTCAATGTTGCACCTGAACACTGTCAAGCTGGGTTACATTACCAGCATGATGTAGGTGTCAAGAGGACCTAGGATAGCTCAGTTGGTACAGCATGAGACTCTTAATTTCAGGGTTGTGGGTTTGAGCCCCACGCTGGTCACAAAGATTCCAGCCATTGCAGGGGTTTGGACTAGATGACCCCCTCGGTCCTTTCCAACTCTACAATTCCGTTCCGTGCATTAAGGCGGTGGCAGAGAGTGTCATGCATTTACTGGGTGTTAATATCTTGCTAACATTTTTTGTCACTATTCAGTGCTGGGAAGAAAAGGAGCACACTCTGATCCAGTGCCAGAGGATGAAGGTGGACTGTGAGATCTACAAGGACAAAATCAGTGCCCTCCAGGCACAAGTGGCTGATCTGCAGAAAGAGAGAGATCAGGTAACCTAGAGGTCTGAACGCAGCAGAGTTGTTTTCAGGGCAGGCGGCAGGGAGGTTACCAAAGTAAGGGAAGTGGTGGCTTGTCCAATTAGAAGGGATCTTTACCATTCTAGAATGTTGCAACAGTTAAGGAAATGTCCAATCAAATGTTCCAAGCCATATAATGGACATTACCTGTTACTAGCTGCAAGGTTTTAATGGGCAGGTGGCGCTGTGGGTTAAACCACAGAGCCTAGGGCTTGCCGATCAGAAGGTCGCTGGTTCGAATCCCCGCGACAGGGTGAGCTCCCGTTGCTTGGTCCCTGCTCCTGCCAACCTAGCAGTTTGAAAGCACATCAAAGTGCAAGTAGATAAATAGGTACCGCTCCGGCGGGAAGGTAAACGGGGTTTCCGTGCACTGCTCTGGTTCGCCAGAAGCGGCTTAGTCATGCTGGCCACATGACCCGGAAGCTGTACGCCGGCTCCCTCGGCCAATAAAGCGAGATGAGCGCCGCAACCCCAGAGTCGGCCACGACTGGACCTAATGGTCAGGGGTCCCTTTACCTTTACCTAGAATCCAGCCCAGTAGTTAAAAAGATAGCAGCAATTGTAACAAGGCTTGTTGTCTAAGCAGAGAATTGGCTGCATTACTAATTCTGTTTGCGGAATCTCTTCCCCCGGACTTCCAAGACAACTCAGGCAGCACCTTGGTTTTTCTTTTGGTACTGCAGAGTACTCCTTGTGCTTCCTGTGGTATGTTCTGCCCCTATTTAGGATTGATTCTCAAGGCCCCAAAGCAAATGGCTCACTGGAACCTTTAAGCTATTGTGAGAACAGTTTTGATCTCCTGCACTTGTCCCTGTAACTGTTGCTGCCGATAGCTTATTTCCGTCTGTCTCCTAAAGCCCTTGCCGATGTTTTTCTGCCCCCCCCCCCAGGCCTACAGCGCAAGGGATGCTGCTCAGGTGGAAATTTCTCAGAGCCTCCTGGAGAAAGATTCGCTCCGCCGCAAAGTCTTTGAGCTCACTGATGAGATCTGTGAACTCAGGAAGCAGACAGGCCTAAGTGGCTCAGTGCTCGCGGTGAGTTTTGGGATGAGGGTAACCGAGGGCCCCCTCCCATTACACCTCCCCCACTTCCTCGCCTATCCCCTCCTAGTTCGCCCAGACCTCCCCTCCCAGCACCCACTCCCCCAGCCCTCCGAGACCTCCAACCCCTTTGAAAGGAGGATGGGAGGCATTTCAGAAACTGGCTTACCAAACTGCTCTCTGGAGTGCCTCCCATCCTGCTTTTAAATAGCTCACTAGGGCCACTTGCCACCTCCACTGCTTGCTTGCCTACTGCCACACTGGAGTTACTGTAGCCACCTACTGACAGCCATGCAAACTGCAGCATGACAACAGAACAACAATTTTATTATATGGGGGGAATACACGTTAAAATTACTTGTTAGCAGGCAACATACTCATATTCCCCAGCACATGACTGGGGTAGGAGAAAAATGGCAGCTCCTTATCATCTATATGGCGTTGTTCCCGCCAGTATTTTCTGCCCTGCAGGCAGTTCTTGGCTGCGTGTTTTATGAGCCATTTCTCTCTCTCTGTTTCCTCTAAGCAGGTGCAGTGGGATGGGCCTGCCAGCTCTCTGACCAAGGAACCTTGTCCAAAGAGGAAACAGCGTCTTGTGCGCATGAACGCCGTCTGCCCCCGGGGTGACAGCCAGGACAGCTTCTTGAGCATGTCTGAGGTGTACAGCTCACCCCTCCCCAAACCCACCATACTTTTTCTAACTGGGGGGGGGGTTAGGGGGAGGCGCCACAGGATACTATCCTCAGGGTCTGGGGTCTCACTTGTCTTGCAGGCCCCCACTCTTTAGGGCACAGAACACCTGGGGGAAAGACCTGAATGGGGAAATTGGAGTTCCCCTGTGTCTGAGTGGCCTGACCCACTTCTTTTCTTTCGCAGTCTTGGTCAGATTTAAGCAACAGGTCAAACCAAGAGCTGCTTGGGAGCATCCGCTCATGCTGCCCAATCCCACCATGTAAGCATTCCCTACAGAGGAGAGCCATGCAAGAAAGTTCTTTTTCCAGAAGGTGAGTACAGACCCTGCTCTGCTGTATACTGCTGGTTCCCAGCTAGGCCTATGTGGGCATGTGTGCTTATTAAAAAAGAGAGAGAGAGAATCACAATTTTGATAGACAGGTGCATTTTGCAAAGCGGGGAAATAAATACCAATTAACAGAAATATTTTGGTTTTCTAATTTATCGCAGATGCTTTTTTTCCAGTCATCCAGATTTTAGCAGAATTTTGAAAGGGGGTTAAGAGCAATTAGGTAGGATATGGAGATGTGACAATTATCTCCCACCACCACTAGAAGTCTTTATAAGCCTTGATCCTATACTTTCCATATGTTTTCTTCACAGCCGTGAAGGGTAGAAACTTGCACCCTTGAGTCTTCATATACCACCAGATTGTGTGCAGCAGTTACCACGGCCACTTCTTGACAGCCGTGCAAACTGCAGCAGGACAATTTTATTATGTAGTGTTGGGCGGGGGAACAAGTTAAAATGATGTGCTAACAGGCTCCACTGGACATGTGTGAATCTGTTCTAGGCTCAACTAAACTATATATAAGGAGGGAATATTTTAAGATTGTTCATCCTGTTTATCATACACCCACACCCACCATCCTGAATATAACCTTGCAACTGCCATGACCCGCTGGATTGATCTAACTTTCCAGTTCACACTCTGTTATTTTCATCTTACTTATGTCTCCTCTTGCAGCAGTTCCCTGGAGTTTCTGGAGGACGATTTCCCTTCAGCTTCCGAAGAGAAAGTAGAAGACCCCCCTTTTGAGTATGAGATGGTGGAAAAAGAGGGTAAGGGATCAAACCTAGGTTGGTGTGTCCCTGGCTAAGGGGAGGAGACGACTCTTCCCATTGAGTTGTTGTATTTATAATTACCTCATTAGCTCTGGGCATATTGTAGCAGCTTCACTACCTTTCTCCAAAGGGTCCACAATCTTAGGGGGCCCTTCAGTTGGGACAGGGCAAACCAATCATATCAATAATAGTAGGCGACTTGTTATCAAAGTGTTAATTTTAAGTACAATACTGTGACTCCAAAGTCAGATCTGTACTAAAGAGAAAAAGCAGGGACATACAATTCCAGAATTTGCTTCCTTGGTGAATTCTGATTACCTGTTTTTTGGGGTGGAGAACTTCAGACCTGCAGGCCAAATGTTGCCCTTTAGGGATCTCTTATCGAGCCCATGAGACTTTCCCAGGCCACACCCCTCATCTAGCAGGCACCCCATATCCAGCAAAGCAAAGGAGACACAATGAGTAAACTCTGAAGGTTACCAGCCAAGCATTTTGTTCAGCAATAATAGATCCTGCCTCTTGTTGCAGAACTTACTGCCCCATTCTGATTGGTTGGTGTGCAGCTTTGCAAACTTAACATGGGTGCCTGGTTAGAGACAAACAAAGTGGTCACTTAGCTCTCACCTATTCAAACATTTCTATTTCATTCCAGATGGCAACTCTTTGTGGCTTCACCTGGACCCCTGCATCTCAGAGAGGTAAATGTCAAGTTCCCAACCGCAGAAAGTTTGGGTCGTAAGTAACCACAGACTCAAGGCCTAAGTCAATGAGGATTTTCTCAACAATTGAGGCACCCATGTCCTGGGCAAAAGACAAAAGGGCTGTGCTGACATCAAGGAAAAAATTAGTTTGTCACCCAAGGAATCTATCTGAAGGCAAGGGGTGAGGAAAGAGAAGAAGGCAGGGCAAGAAGCAAGGTGGTGACAAGAAGGAGCAACAGAAATGAGAAACAGGTGTCAAGTTTAAGCAAGAATGGAACATTTGAGTAGCAAGTAGCAGGCCAGCTAACATTTTTGTATAGGCAAATAGCTGTAGGCTTCCCAGGAAGTAATTGATACCTGTCATAGGAGCTAACTCCTAGTGGGCCAAGGGGTCTTTGCCCCCTCCATAAAATATTTGAGCCCCCCCCAAAAAAGTTGATGGACATTGCTATTTAAATAGTGTGTGTGCACTGCGTCATGTGATCGATTATGTGGGGCAGGGCTTACCTGCCCCCCCCCATATATTTTGTTCACGGTGGCACCCCTGGTATGGGTCATCTAGAGTTAGTTGCTACCATGATGTATATGTGTGTGTCTGCATGCACACATATTTTTTCTCAGAGGGAAGGTTTTAAGACCTGATATTTCTGACAGTGGCCCACTTTGCATGTAATGCTATGAAGCTCAGTAGAACGTGTGAAGGAATGAGCCAAGGGGAAGGAAAGGGGAGATATGCACATCCCGGGAGGAGACAGAAGCCCCCATGCCCACTCTGTCCTCATGGCTCCATTCTCCTCTTCCCCAGTGTGCCTATGCGCCGGCGGCTTGCACAGCGTTTCCCAAGCCGCATCACAACCATTGCCTTCCAAGCCAACACTTTGATGGAACAAATCAGCATCATTGGGGGGAACCAGACGGGCATCTTCATTCACCAAGTCACACCTGGCTCTGCTGCTGATGAGATGTCTTTGTCGCCAGGCCATCAGATTGTGCTGGTAAGACGTGCACATCTCCTCACTCCTCTAAGACAGTGTTTCCCAACCGGTGTTCCGCGGCACACTAGTGTGCCGTGAGACCTTGCCTGGTGTGCCGTGGGAGGGAGGCGGGCGGCGAGAGGCGGGGCGGCGGCGGCATCTCCTGCTGGATGCAAATCCAAACATGGCGGGCACCTCCCTCGCTCCTTTGTAGGCGGATCATCGAGAGAGAAAGAAAAGGAGGCGAAAGAGCGAGAGAAGGCGCCTGCGCGGAAAGAGGAGCGAGCAGTGCGCCTGCGCGCCGCCTGAGATCGCTTCTCCCCACCGCCCCTTGCTTCAAAAGAGGTCCGGGGACAGCGGGAAGCGCTTCGCGCTGCCCCCGGACCTCTTTTGAAGCAAGGGTTTGCGGGGAGAAGCGATCTCCCCGCAGCCCCTTGCTTCAAGAGGTCCGGGGGCAGCGGGAAGCGCAGCGCTTCTTCCCCGCTGCCCCCGGACCTCTTTTGAAGCAAGGGGCTGCGGGGAGATCGCTTCTCCCGCTGCTCCGAAGCGGGGCGGGGGGGCCGGGAACCTCGCACCCCGCCGCCGGGCATCGGAACGAGGTCCTGGACCTCTTCTGAAGGCAGGCGGGGGCAAAAGTCTTTGCTCCCCCCGCCTGCCTTCCCGGGACAGCGGAGACTTCTCCGCTGCCCCGGGCGATCTTAAAATGCTGGCGGGCGGGAGCGAAGCGTTCGCTGCCGACCCCCAGCATTTTAAAATCTCCTCGGGGCAGCGGAGACTTCGCTCCCGCCCGCCAGCATTTTAAAATCGCCCCGGGACAGCAGGGGCTTTTAAAATGCTGGCGGTCGGCAGCAAAGCCCTCCTGTCCCCGGAGCTTGCGGGGCGGGAGGTGGGAAGAAGGGCTTTTCTTCCCACCGCCAGCCTTCAGAACAGCCTTCTGAAGGCTGGCAGTGGGAAGAAAAGCCCTTGTCCCCCCCCCCAGCCTTCAGAAGAGGTCGGGGGACAGACTGTCCCCGGACCTGGTCTGAAGGCGGTTTCCCTAGGAACGCATTAATTGATTTTCAATGCATTCCTATGGGAAACCGTGCATCGCAAGACGAAAAACTCGCAAGACGAAGAGACTTGCGGAACGAATTAATTTCGTCTTGCGAGGCACCACTGTACTTTTTATATAGTCAATATAGGCACAGAGTTAAATTTTTTAACATTTTCTAATGGTGGTGTGCCTCAAGATTTTTTTCATGAAACAAGTGTGCCTTTGCCCAAAAAAGGTTGGGAAACACTGCTCTAAGACTCCGTTGGTTATGCCTACGGAGCCTATCTTTCTCTTTCCCATGGAGATAACCTGTTTCCTTTGGACGCTTTACTCCTCCTCCTAGCTGCATCCCTGTCCCCATGTAGAGCCCAGGGAATGGCCACCTGACCTCCTGTGTTGTGGCTTCATCGGGCTGCAACTGATTACCATCATATGTTTGTCTGTCTCTCGAAACCCTCCTTCAAAGCACTCTCCTTGATTTTATGTTTGAGCTATTCTTCTTCAATTTGTAGGTGGATTATGGAGTCATGGAACCAGGTTTCAAGGCTGTCCTGGAGGATGCAACACTTGAGGAGGCTCTTTGGGTCCTGGAAAGGGTCAATGGCTTCTGCTGCCTGTCTGTGCGTCTCAACATGGAGGGTAAGGGTTGCCTGATGGGAAAGGGGAAGTCGCTATGAGCAATCAGTGATATGGATATTGCTTGAGGTCACACCATCAAGTAAGGTGAACAGTGGATACCACTAAGGGTGGCATACTAGGAGATAGGCAGACCTGCTTCATGAGTAGAATCCATTGGGAAGTTCCCCTGCACAAACCCAGTTGAAACGATTGTAAGCTGTGCAAGAGCATTTCAAGGAGGAATGTGTTAGATAGACAACTTTCTGGCGGATTGCACCCCATGTTAAATAGTGTGAATGAGGAGGTGCTCTTTTAGATTTTCTACCTTGGGCATCAAAATGTTTTGGGACAACCCTGGGCATCTCCCTAGCCATGGGTAGAGTCAGGAAGCCATCGTCATTGTCCCCATGCCCCTTGGGCTTCTCAACTCTTATCCTGCACTCCTGCTATTCCAGCACAGCATTTCCAATACTCTCTAACCCATTAGGCTATAAGAAGCTGCTGAGTGACCTGAACTCCAAGCTGGTGACATCTGGAGACTCCTTCTACGTTCGGTCCAACCTCTGCCTTGAGAGGCAGGCACCTGGGGAACTTCTAGTAGGGTGCCATGACATCCTGCACATCACCGACACAGTGTGCCAGGGACAAACGCAGTGGAGTGCCTGCCAGGTGAACCCCTACACCATGAAAGACATGGATGCTGGCACTATCCCCAACTACTGCCGGTGAGATTCATCATCTGAGAAGGCCTGAAAGGCCTCCTTAGCGCATCTGAGATGGTCCTTTCCACGTGGCATGATGGCCAAGGAGAGAGGAACACATCTACTCTTTTCTACCTAATGCATTCCTCTGTCCCCTTCTTTCCACCCTAGGGCACAGCAGCAACTCATCACCCTGATTCAGGAAATGGCCCAGAAGAGCACCGTCACTCACAAGGTAATTGGAAGCAGCCTATGAAATAATTTGAGGAAAGAATCTTAATATATTTTCCATATGGTTGCAGGCACAGCTCACTGGAATTGTCTTGTGCAGCAGCTTGTGGGCAATTCTGTGCAGCCATTCTTACTGGTGCATCTCTGTAAACCTCGGTGTCCTCTTCCTCCATCCCTTGCTTTGGAGTGATGGCATCTCGTCACTGAAGTTAAATCTGCAAGCATTTGTTCAGATTGTGAACGGCAGTCACCGGTGACGAAACATGCAGCTCCACCAGCAAACGCGGGCCAGTGCCATTTCCCTTGTAAGGCCGGGGAAGTTGGCAGAGAGAAGGAAGCATATATCCTTAACAGCACTGATATGTGGAAGACATACTGGGTGACAGTCATTTGGAATGAAGGCTTGACATTCCTTCCTGCCTTGCAGAATTCTGGGTTGCAGCCCAAACTGGTGCGAATCGTGAGCACAGACAACAAGAAGATCAATCCGCTCTGGTCATCGATGGACTGCAGCCTGTCGGACTCCAGCAAGCCACATAGTGAGTTCCGGCTAGTTTCTGTTTCTAAAAAAAGATAATTACCCTTGTCTGTTTCTAAAAAAAGATAATTACCCTTTGTCCTTTAGCAATGTGTTGTTCCAGAAGACAATTGTCTTGAGGCTGGTCTTCTGCAGAACAACATCAATGGCTCATTTCTCTTCAATGGGGATCTCTGGGTGTGGCCTTGAATGAGTGGCCTCCTCCAGCCTTGGCTCTTCTTCCTCTTCCTCTAGTGAGCCGTCGAGTCAGTCTTCACACCAGGAGCTGTGTCAGCTTGATGCCGTACACTTTGGTCAGGCCCTGCAGGCCTGGCTGCCCACGCCCAGTCCTCCTGGTGCCAACGCTGTTGGGAAGGATCCTGGCTGACAAGTTGTGCCTGTCCAAGGCCTTTGAGAAATGTCCAGCAGGTACGTCCTTGGGATGGGACCGACTCCCATAACTAGCTGGCTCCCTTTGCTGGAATTGTGCAGGGGAATGGTTGGGTAAGCCACGGGCCAAGGGAGCAGAGACCCGAGGGACTTTTGCTTGGCTTCACTCAACAGAGGGGGCAAGTAAATGAAGAAGACTTTGGCTTTGATATCCCACGTTATCACTACACTAAGGAGTCTCAAAGCGGCAAACAATCTCCTTTCCCTTCCTCCCCCACAACAAACACTCTGTGAAGTGAGTGAGGCTGAGAGACTTCAGAGAAGTGTGACTAGCCCAAGGTCGCCCAGCAGCTGCATGTGGAGGAGCGGGGAAGCAAGCCCGGTTCACCAGATTACAAGTCCAGGGCTCTTAACCACTACACCACAAGTGTCTTCCATTGAAGCAATGGAATTGAGGGTAGTAAAGGTTGTCTTCTGACATCTATCTACATTTCTTGTCACAAGTACTGCCTCACCCCAAGACACACACCTTGACATCTTGACAAATGTGCCTTGTGGTACATTTGCTCATTTTCTACTCTGCCCCACCCCCTTCACCCAGTAGTCTCACCAATAATTCCTGAGAGGCAAGGTTCAGTTTGGAAGCTTATCCAGAACGGCACCAAGCCGTGTTGTCTTCTTGACCTGTTTCTCCCCTCTGCAGAGCCCCAAGGCGAAACACAGAGTAGAGATGCACTCCCTGAAAAAAGCGAGATGAGTAGCAACTGCTGTGTTCCCCATCAGGCTCTGGAGTGGCTGATGCAAAAGGTAACAGGGGTGTAGGGGTCTGGGAATGTGACCCAGGGGTGCAGATGCAAGTATCTCTTAGGAGAGACTAGGATTTGTCAACCCCCACCCCCCAGCTCTTAAGAAACACACATGCACAGACTTGGAACTTAATTGTACCTTGAACCTGCTCCCCTCTAGAATGTGCATGGCTGGCTGGACCTGGGCCTGGAAAGTGTGCAGGAACTCCTGGCTATGGAAATCTACCCCATCATCATCTTGGTCACCATCAGTGAAAAGAATGGAAAGAAATTCAGGTAAGAGCCGCTGCTTTGCACCAAAAGGCCATTGTCTGCTTTGCAAAACCCGAAGAGCCAAGGCCTCCTTAGCGTAATCCTAAAGCCACAACAACCTTCTTCCTTTCAAGCCTGGATTTGAATTGCATAAAGTTAATGATGCAGCCTTTACAGTGGTACCTCGTGTTACGGATGGGATCCATTCTGGAGGCCCGTCCATAACACCAAACACCCGAAACTTGAAGCGCTATATCTGTGCAGGCGCGATTTGGCGCTTCTGCTCATGCGTGAGTGGCGAAACCCGGAAGTAACCCATTCCGGTATTTCTGGGTTGCCACGGGACGCAAGACGAAAACACGCAACCCGAAGCGGACGCAACATGAGGTATGACTATAATGTATTTGGAGTGGCATTTATGGGCGCGGCAGAAAGTCACACCTATCCCGTTGTGGCTTGGCTGTGAAAAGTGGTTCTTTTGAATTGTGTTTTTTAAAAGAAGCAAGCTGCCCAGAGGGGTTGTTGTGCTATAGGACAGTCTAGAAATCATTTAAGTAAATAATAATTACATAACTGAACCCCCTGCAAAAGTATTGGATGACAACTATGCCAATCACTGAAACAGGCAGGGGAGATAATTTCTTCTGCCAGTTACTCACGCCTCCCACCTGTCCTGGGCTTCCGTCTTTGCCATCCTTCCTACTGTTGCCACCATTCTTCATTCCTTTTGCACTTAGCCTGGGGAAAATGTGCTCCTTCTCCTCCAGTGCCCCTTACAGCCTCCTTTCCTAGTCTATATTACACGAAATGGGACCGAGACTGCAAGCCTCACCCCGCTTACCTGAGAGCAAGCCCTCTTGAAGCTAGTGGGGATTACTTCTGAGCAGACATGGTTTGGAGGATAACATCCCATGAGAGTTAGGCCCCCAGGTCTTAAGTTGCTGACCTCTAGCCCAACAAATGATCTGCGTTTCAGGAAAGCCCTCCAGCGTCTCGGAGCAACTGAGGAGCAACTTTTGGAGACTGCCCGGAAAGAGGAGGCCCAGCTGGAGACAGTGCCCTGCCTCTATGGCACCATCGCCCCTGATGCCTGGAGTGACCACGACACTCTTGTAAGCTGTGTCCGCATGGCTATTGCTGAGGAGCAGAAGAAAGTGGTCTGGGTGGAACAAATGCCTCACTGAACCTTTTGGAAATGGGCAAGCGTGTGGCGGTCCTTTGTCTCAGGGCCTTGGAAGGACTTGACAGTGGTGCAATATATTCTGAACTAAGCTCAAGTGGGACTCGGGGCATGTTTGTTCAAACTTTCTGAACACTCTTCTATACGCACACACACACAAAACACACACACTTCCAAGCTTAATTGACCTTTTGCCTCCCAACCCTGACCGCACACCCCGCTATGCAAAGTCTTATGTTGACTAGGAAAGACAACGCTTCTGTTCCATTGAAAATCAAGACATCGTTCAGCTGAGTTAAAAAAAAATTCAGACATGTTTCATTCTGTGGCTTGTCCCCAATGGGCTTGTTCCTATTATTCCCTGCATTTTGCTTAAAATGTTGAAAAGAAGGTGCTTTGGGGCCAAAGCGAGAGAGACCCCTTGATTTCAATGGGGCAAGTAGGCAAAGGATTCGACCCTTCACAGCTCAATAAATATGCACTCACTATACACTGTTAACACATGTACAAATGAAGAACAGTGGGATGTTGTATGATTTGCTATGCTCATGCCCTACATTTCCCTCCCCCAGAATATACGGGACCCTTGTGGCCTCTCTTTTAGTGTACTGGGTATCCCAGATCTCTCTGGCCTTCTGTCAGCACCTGCTTCTCAAGCATCTTGCAACATTAATACACTGCAGGTGTTTAATCCGGAGACTGTAGATACAATACTTGTAAACAATTGCATACTCATTCAAGCTGTCTCTTACCTGGTTTACCTTCCACTTTCTGTTTTCAATTACTGCAGCAGGTAAAGCAAATATATATCTCCTGATTTTATTTCATTTTGTAAAACAGCACAGTGCTAGGTAGCTCTGCTGCTTGCATTAAACTAAAATCCTTGTTGGACACTCATTTATATGTTTACTGCCTACCACTGCTATGGTGACCCCAACCCAAATCTCTGTGGGATTTTCCAGATTCTCAACTTGAAGAGACAAACAGCAAGTGTGGGAGAAACTAGAAGACATTCTAGTGATTGTCATTGCTGTAGTAACAAGGGAAGGGCTATCAGCTCAATGAAGTAATCTACTGCTTTATTTGTTGGTTGAATATTCAGTAGGAGCCACATAAAAAGCTCTTTCAAACTTACTGTTTAGAATTGTCTCATAGGCCTGTAGCAGTCTGAAATTCATGGAGAGGAACTGCATGTTAGCTTTCCACCTACTGGCAGATTTTGGAGTTGGGTGCTTTTAAGTGACTCCACCATTTGCAATCCTCTTGAGAAGACTGTACGGTGTATTCTCCTAAATTTTTCAACCGGATCTAGGCCTAACGCATTCCTGTACACATTCCTGCAAAAGGCACTGTTTCTGAATGTGCAAATCACAGCCTGGATGGGACCAGCCCAATTCTGTAGAGCAGCATTTGCTGGCTGTTCCATTAGGCACTTGCGACATCATTCCCTTTGGCAGCAAACATTTTGGCAGTGGGGCTAAGACGGTTGATATGTCTGCAGCAATTAAGAAGGCAGGCACATAAGAAACCACCCTCGTCTTGTTGATTCCAGCTCTTCCCACAGCTGCAAACGCAACAGTGCTTAGCTCTGCAAACTGCAAGCCTTTGCAAGTCAGAGCTTTCCTTAGCGCTGCTCATATGAATGAGGAACTAGCAGCCACCACAAAAGGGAAGAGGGGGGAAATCACAGTTCGTTATGCAGCGGTCGGCATTGGGGGCTGGGTTTATCCTCCAGGACGCCGTCGGGCACACACACCCAGGGGTCGTCCGTTTCCCACTGCCATTTCAGCAACAGCCCCCTGAGCAAATCCAGGACCTGGGCATAGCGGGGGTCAGAAGCCAAGTTGCGGCTCTCCGTGGGGTCGAGGCTGTGATCGTACAGCTCCCAGCGTTCCCGGTAGTAGTAGCCATGCAGCGTCTTGTTCCAGTGTGTGGGCTGCCCTGCCTGGGTCCTGTTCAGCAGGTCCTGGAATGTGGGCGACACGTAGAAGTCCTGGTCGATGGGGAAAGGCGTGCGGTTCTGCAGGTTGTGGATGAAGCGCAGGGGCCCCCGCTGCACGGCCCGCATGGGATAGTGCATGGTCACTTCGTGGAGGCTCTGGCTTGCAAACACTGTGGCCCACGCCGGCTCCAGAGACAGCGCTGGCAGCAGGGACTTCCCAGTCAGTTGCACTATCCGCTTCCCAAAGAGGCTGTAACTGGGGTACGGCACAGAGGAACCAGTCCAGAATGGTGGGGGTCATGTCTACAGAGAGGAAGGGGAAACATCAAGCATCCATTAATAAATAATAATAGCAACATTTATTTAAATGGCCCTGCCAATGTAGGTGGCTCAATCCCGCAATTAAAAGAAGAATTTCCTCCCCAGAGGGCGTACAATCTAAAGTGACTATGAACAACACAATAAAAATCAACAATTTAAAATGCACAATTCAACCCGGTGTAAACGGCTTTTTGCTATTGTTAAACTGCTTTAGAGATTTAATTTGCAATCCAGCAGTATGCATAGTAAATAAAACACATTTAGACTGGAAACTTTTTATGGACTTCTTGCTTGAAAGACAATGAACTTGTAATATCTGGATTTGAAGATTGGAAAAAAATATTTGAATATTTAGATGTTGAAAATGGAAAAATGAAATAAAAATTATTTTATAAAAAAATGAAGATTGGAAAAAAATATTGGCTTACAGAAAATAGAATAGTTGGGAGTTTAATAGGTGAATATTATATGTAACTGAAGGACATAGAACTGGAAGTCCTTTAAAATCTTTTTATCTTTTTTCTATTTTCTTTTATTTCTTCTTTTTTGTTTTTGTTCCTTTTCAGATTAGATTTTTAAAGTGTTTGTTTTGTTATGGTGTATTATAAAAATATACTTTATATTGGGTATGAACTTTTGTATAGCTTTGGATAAGCATCAAAAATAAATGTAAATTTAAAATAAATACACAGAACAGATGAGTGCAAATGGAAGCCAGTTCGTGGTTGTCTGGACACCCCCAAAGTCTCTTCCCCACATTCAAAACCCTCCCCTGCCTCACACTTCCCCGATGTCAATACAGAAGTCGATAACTCAGTGGCTCTCACCTAGCAAGCTGGCATAGGCACTGCTGACCTGTCCCCAGCGCGCGGGATGCTCAGGCGAGGAGACGAGGAGGGGTTCAGCCGTACCTGACCAGTACAGGTTGGTTCTGCCACTTGGGAAGGGGATACCATTGTCGGAAGTGTAGATCACAAGGGTAGTGTTGCGGAAGCCAGCGTTGTTCAGCTCCTCTAGGACAAGACCAAGGCCTACATGTGCCACAGAAAGAGACCTGAGGGTGCTCTGCAAAAGGCCTGTAGCCTTCACCAACAACTTTGCTCAGAAGAACTCTCATCTACACTGTGAACCACTCTGATTAGATGGGAGCTTCATCGTCACCATCTAATTACAGTGGTACCTCATGTTAAGAACTTGATTCGTTCTGGAGGTCTGTTCTTAACCTGAAACTGTTCTTAACCTGAGGTACCACTTTAGCTAATGGGGCCTCCTGCTGCCGCCACGCGATTTCTGTTCTCATCCTGAAGCAAAGTTCTTAACCTGAGGTACTATTTCTGGGTTAGCGGAGTCTGTAACCTGAAGCGTCTGTAACCCGAGGTACCACTGTACTGGAATGGGACTTGCTTCCCCAGGCTTTCCAGCAGCCAAAAGCAGCTCATCCAGCTGCTCAGCATGAAATATTTCCACTCAGTTGGGGCAGCCAAGTCTGGATATTGCTAACCACAAATGCTGAAGAGAATGAAATTCATAGATATAATGTCTGGAGTCGCTTGGTGCTTTCTTTCCACACCTCACTGGGATTTCTAGGATTTTAAAGAGCAACTCGAGCACACGTGTGTACCTGGAGGCCACATGCATCCCTGTGCTGAAGGGAACTTGATTCCCACCCCTTCCTCCAGAAGGACTCCCTTAGGTCCTTAAGCACAAGAGATGCCACGCGGTATATCAAATATGCAAAAATGCGCCAGACTCTCCCTGAAACACACCTAAGCTCTCGCTCTTGCTTCAAGAGCGCTGCATCTCCAGCCTTGCCCTCCACTCCTGCAGGCAGGATTGCTCTGATTCAATAAACACCCTACCTTGATCCATGCGCCCAGTGGTTGTGTATTGAGCTGCCAGATCCGCACGAGCAGCTGGTGTGTCCTGTACAAAATATGGGACCTGAGGGCAGAAAGGGGGAGAAAAGCAACTGTTACCAGAAGCTACATCAGGAAGGGAAACCAAGGGAATAAAGGCCCACAAAACTACCTAGAAATTGCAATGGCCATGGCTAACCTCCCTCCATTGGGCGCAAATGATCTGCTGCACAACTCCCGGTCTGGCAATGGGGAAGGCTAGAGGATGCTGCATGTGTTCCCACCGTTTCATGGCAGAGAAGAAAAGGGTGGAATTCAATGCAGCGCCTATGGAGATCGATCCATCAGCACATGCATTTCTGCTTGCCAGGCTGAACAATCTCTCTCCCCTCCCCTGTGCGCTGTTATGGGCAGGTGCACATAGAGAGAGGAGCCCACGTGACGGCTTCTGCTAGTGGAATAGGGTAGCTGAATCCGGCCCACGTGTTTTTACTTAATGACCTATTAAATCTATATCCCGCCCTTCCTCTTGTATCTCACATTCCATGTCTCACCTGCACTTGATCTGGGCTGTAGTGCTGGGGTTTCCAGTCTGGGATCCAGCCCATTCCAGGCTCTCCATTGCCAAATTTCTCGCAGAAGGCTCCATACTGGGGCTGGGAGTGGCCGCAGCGGTGCGGATCGTGGAAAGCAATATACAAGAAAAAAGGCCTGCCAGTTGAAAATGCAGGTGGTGTGAATGCACTCAAAATGCCTGAGACAACATCACCTCCACCACTTTTAGCAAAAGTACTCTGGGCGTCCTTCCAGCTTTGCTGAGGTTCCTCTTTCTGCTAACTGCAGCCCTCAGCCTCTGCTCCCTTCAGTTTTTCTGCTCAACCTCTGTGCTGATTTTTTATCCTCCATGAAATAAACACCACCATTTCCCCCCAAGCTCTCTTTGCCGCCTCTCAGGTTTGCGTGAATTTCCCTGCAACAAACATGTAGACTGTGACTGATGGCTGTGCATCCTTAAATTCCATTTGTGTGTGCCGGAGTGCCCTGCTCTACACAGGAAGTGAGTCTGCAATGCAATACCAGCACCATATGATGGGTTCTTACCTCTCCTCCTCCTGGCTGCGGAGGAATTTCCGAACGAGCAGCTTGATTCGGGTGATGTTCCGCCCCACCTGGAGGACAGAGCCGTTCTCCTCAGTGTAGGCAAAGTCAAATGGATACACAGCCTCTGGCCCGACGTGTTTCTTCCCAATGATCCCTGAAGCAGACAAACGCCAGCAGTCAGATGCAATAGCAAGGAAAAGCTAACAGATCACATAAAAATCCACCAGCGCTCTGATGCACTTGGGAAGCTAGTGGTTACCCTGGATCAGCTTCCTCAACCATAGCCCTCCAGATGTTTTTGGCCTTCAACTCCCATGATCCCTAGCTAGCAGGACCAATGGTCAGGGATGATGGGAATTGTAGTCTCAAAACATCTGGAGGTCTGAGGTTGAGGAAGCCTGCCCTGGATGAATCCAACACAAGGTCTCTGTTGTCTAAGAGCTACTGGCTGCCTCCCAAGAACTGTGGTTT